ACAGGCATGAGCCACTGCACCCGGCCTAGTTTATGTTTTTAAAATGACAGTCACAAATGCTTTACCCTTGATGGGGAATGACATATCTATTTTCAGTGAATAGTAATGCCTTAAAAAGCAACAGCATTTTGTCTAAATTGAACTTATGTAATTGCACAAAAGTCACAGAAAGCATTAAGAAACGCTAGTAAAGATGGAAGTTTTCTCAGACTCTTGCATAGCAACTCCAGGAAGCTTGATTCCAGTGCGTCCTCCCATTCAAACAGTAATGATGCTCTAACTCAGAGACACACTGGCAGAGTACGGCAGCACAGCCAGAACCCAGGCGGTTTGTAAAAGTAAAACTCTGCTCTACTGTTAAGCTTTAATTATGCATTCATTCATCTTTTCATTACTCTAGAAGCATTAAAAACACCTCAAATTAAAGTATATTTTCTCAGGCTTAAAACTTGTTTTGAGCTATAGACAAAAAATTAAAAAAAAATCATGCCATAAAACCCTTTCAAGCAGGATCCCTTGCTGCTATTATCTGTGGGGCCTTCCTAATTTTCTAATAGACACGCAAACAAGTTACATTCTCAGCTATCAAACACAGTTGAAGGATTGCAGATATTCTTTTTTATTAGCAGCAGTTATTGGAAACACTGTTACAAAGGCCTCTGAGGTCACTGCTGGACTGGTGGAACAGCTCACTGTGCTTTATTCTCCATCTCTGACATGGGAACAGAAGGGGGAGAAGCAGCAGTCGTGCTTCCCATTTGTGATCTTTGTATTATTAACAAAGCTGAACAGGGTGTGGGTATGGATATTTGGAAAAACACAACAAAGGTACATTTTTCTGTTTTAATGAGTTGTGATGTTTTAATATGGAGATTTAACTTGTTTTATGGATCTTAATCTCATTTAAGACAGTATTTCTATTGGGAAGGTTTTTCCCTTTCTCACCTTATAAAAACTGAGAAAAAAACAAGTTTTTGAAAGAAGATGTACACAGAGTACTGTAAGTGACCAACGTGGATACTATGAGGAGAGTTCTTGCTCCAGTTTTTCTTTTTTATTGAGACAGGGTCTTGCTCTGTTGCTCAGGGTGGAGTGCAGTGGTACAATCATGGCTCACTGCAGCCCTGACCTCCTAGGCTCAAGCGACCCTCCTACCTCAGCCTCCTGAGTAGCTGGGACTATAGGTGCACACCTCCACACCTGGCTAACTTTAAAAAGTTTTTGTTGAGACAAGGTCTCTCTCTGTTGCCCAGGCTGGTCTCAAACTCCTGGGCTCAAGCGACCCTCCCTCCTTGGCCTCCCAAAGTGTTGGGATTACAGGCATGAGCTACTATACCCAGCTTTACTCCAGTATTTCCACTGCCGTGTTTCAAATAAAGAACACAGTCTGCTTCCTAATTATGGAGAAAAAATAGTAATTCCTGAAATAAATACATAAAAGCATGTGACACTGGCTATCCAGGTAAGTTTCCTTCATTTAAATGGTACTATATCTTCAATTCAGGGAGGAAAATGCCAGTGGTAACATTTGAATAATTTTTTTTAAAATTAAGGCTCTTAAAAAAATATTTTCTCAGGCCGGGCGCAGTGGCTCAAGCCTGTAATCCCAGCACTGTGGGAGGCCGAGGCGGGTG